AGCAAAGACCACCTTCCCTCCGATGTTTTAGCAAACTCCTAGTGTTACAAATTCGAGTCAAGTCTTGTCTTCTGCTGGTAAGGATCTTGATACTCCTTTGACTGTGCACATGTGGCAGGAAAAGAAGGCTACCCAGTAGCTATGATCCCCTGAGGGAGATAGGGGTGGAAAAAATGTGCAAACCGTAAGGAGACTAAAGGCAAAAGCAAATAAGAGGCATAAACATGTTTCTGTTTCTTTGGCCGGTCGCCTAAGGTTTTGGGGCTCACCCTGTAACTTGTGTCATCCCGCTGTTTGGAGGATGTGACGTTCCCTGTCCGGCTGGAAGTCTTGCTGGCCAGTGGAGGAGGCAGCCAGTGGTGCAGTGTGTAAATGCTGCTGCCAATATCCAGTAGCATGGTGAAAAGGAAGAGAGCAGCCCTCGTGAGCAGAGTATCCCCATGTGGGACTGAGCACATACTGCCCCTATCCTGCTTAATAGCTGGAGAAGTGGTTGCTTTTGCACACACCACCCTCCTAACGTGCTGCATGATACGTTGGCCAGAACAGCGGGGAAGGCAGTAGCTGTAGGGACAGCCCGTGTGCATCGTTCATCCTTTACTTACAACTGCAGGGCTGCAAGGCAGCAAGCCCAACGTCTGGTCTGGACGTGCCTGGGTGAGCCTAGGTTTGTGACTGCAGAATAGCAACGCTCGCTCTGGGCAGAGCGTTGGAGGGCACCTGGAGTTCAGGGGTAAGCAGTGTGCGAGACAAACGTCATTCCGAATTGCAGGAGCAGAGGACATCCGACTGTGCAAAAGCAGCTTGGCTCCTGAATTTGAACTGCACCGTTTTGGGGAGACCTCAGCTAGGCAGGAAGCCGATGTCAAGCTGGCTTGGCCCTGCACACGGGAGCTCCTAGCCTGCTTCATACCTGGGAAACGGTCGGTAAGCTTCTAGTTGCGGAGGCCCAGTCATGCCACAGATGCAGTTGGGCATTAAAAACGCCTGGAACCTTCATATCCCAGAAAAACTCCTTAGCCAGGTTGATTGGGCGCTGCTGAATGTGCTTAGAGGAGAGGAGCGTTTTTGCCTGCGGCAGAGCCAGCTTGGCCCGTGCAGCAGGACGGGAGTGAGCGTGGCCTGACTCTGTGCCCGGGCGCTGCACAGGAGACATCCTCCAGCAGAGTCAGTGGTCTGCTTGGCCAGGAAATGTGCCAGGAAATACTCGGAGGAGGAGATTGAGACGGGCGGATTTGCTGTGATACCAGTGCGTTGGCTGTGCTTTTACCTCTCTCCCTTACGCTCTTTACAGCCAGCTCTAGAAAGTCAAAGGCATGTGCTGCAGTTCAGACTGAGAATGTATTCTGTAGAAACTTAGTCCTATGTGGCTAGAGTATTTTTTTTGTTGTTTGTGTATTTAGAATCTGGTGACTCTAAAAGAGTTTTACCAAATAGTTTGTAGGCCTGTAATAAAAGCTTGGAGATCGTGATTTGCCTGACAGCTGTATGAACACGTTTAACTGTACACTTGAAAATAACAACATGAGAGAGACGTATGCAGTGTTTGGGATTCGGTATCCCTGTGCTGTTTCTATTTGCAGCTTTCGATATTTTTTTTTCCTTCAAAAAGATGTGGGACCAGAAGTTCACGCGCGTTTACACTTTTGAAGCAAGGGCCTGTGGGAGTACGGGGCAAAAGCTGCCGCCTCGAGCAGGCCGAGTTGGGATGGAGCGAACGTGTCCTGGAGCCAGCGCGCGTGCGGGAAGGAGCTGCTTCCGCCCCACGCAAACGCCGGAGAAGAGCGGGGCCGGAGCCGGCAGGAGCAGAGGGCCCCCGCGGCACCCGGAGCAGAGCCCACCGGGTTCTGTGGCCCGCGGCGCTCTGCGGCTCCCGCCGTGTCGGACCGGGTCGCTTCAGGAGGTCGCCCGCCTCCACACAGGATAGGGCAGGCCCTGCTCAACCCGCCACGGTGTCGGCACCGGGTAGGGCGGGCGGAAAAGTTGCCACTGGTTTTTGAGCGGTTCTTGTTCGAGTCGGGGATCCGAGCGAGCTGTGCAGGTGGGGAGAGAAAGAAGGGAACAAGAGGGCAGATGAGTGGGAGCAAACAAACTGCACGGGGCCCGTGGCCCCTCGGCAAGCGTTTCCTTTCCTGCTTCCTATGCAACGTAGGGCTTGGACCTTTCGCTTCGATATTAGGACACCAGCTAGACAAGCACTGTCCATACTCAGTATTTAGGAGCTGCTCGCTCTCCCCACCTCCCTGCTGCCCATTGAACAGGTAAGATACCTATTTGCTGCTATTGACCTTCCTTACCTTTCACACTGCCCTTTCCTCTTGCCCATGCCAGCCGTTTTGGATCGTTGCGCACACTTTCCTTAAGAAAAACCCACATCCTTTCGGGTAGTTTTTGTTTTCCTTCCCGCCTCTCCCTCTTCCCGCCTGCCGGAGTGCTCTGTTGCTGTATATAAAAGCTCCGAGCGGGACCGTTCAAAAAGCTGCAGCGCGAGTCCAGCCTCCTCCCCTCCTTCCTTAGGCGACTCCCTCATGTTCTGGACCTCCTTCCCTCCATGGCTAATGCCCAGCAGGGTTTTCTGGCTGCACCACTAAAGCCACTGGCAGTTCTGCCATCGCCTGGCCTCTTTTCCTGGCTGTTTCACCTTACCCGATGAGACTAACGTTGGTCGTTCCAAGTGTTAAACCTTTTTTAGGTTTTTTTCTGCTTCTTTTATAATAATTTCCTCTTGCCAGGGTAAGATGGCAGCGTAGCTAAATATCAAATGACATTTTTTGTTTGTTTTAGGAACAAACTCCCTAAACTGTTCATAGAGTATTGTATTTTTAGGGGAAATTAATTTTTATAGCCACTAAACTATACTCATTATTTTTGTACATTTGCAAATTCTGACATTTTTCAGAGACATGTCGCGGAGGGAACACGTATTTTCACTGCTGTTTTACTACTTCTGTGTGCTGAAACGGTGTTGCTCGGTATTGCAGAAGCACTTGCCTTGACACGCAGTAACAGTGAATGAGGTTTGAATAAAAGGCCATTTCTAAAGGCCAAAGAAAAACGCTCTAAAAGCAACACTAACCTTCCCTCCTCTAGAATCTTGAAACAGATGGGAAAAAATAAGGTGCAAAATACGAAGTGCAAGATGAGAACCCTTACTGTAAGCTAATGGTGCCAATACTGCTTCAGTTTGTAGTCACGGATTGGTATTTGCGTTTCGAATCAAAACAGCTCTGGATTTAAAAAAAGCAAAAAAAAGTTGAATGTCTGAAAATCTGCAACATGTTTATTTGAGAGATGTAAATAATGTATACAGATTGTTGTATGTGACGGGACAAAATATTTAAATTCTAGGTTTTTTTTCAATAAGAAACTGAAGGCTGTTTATAAGGAAAAAAAAATAAATAGCTATGTTTGACCATGATTGTCTTTGTCTTTTCTTTCTTGAACTTGTTTCTAAATGACCTTCCATTTGTAGGTAGAGTTTTTCCTGCGTGCTGTGCACACGTGAGCGTGACACACACCGCGCCTTGTCCAGATCTGTGACTATTTGTGTCGCAGGCACAACAGCAATAAAACAACCTCCTGCCCTTTTCATTTCCTTGTTAGATGCCCTGAATTTGCAGAATCCTGGGGGAGCCTGTCCTGGGGGTGCGGATAGGGAGCTGAGGGGCTATGCTGCAAGGGGTGGCTGCTGTCCTTCCTGCTGTCACAAAAGCTGTGGCAGAATCTGCCGCGTTTCTAAGGGCGCGGAGCAGGAGCTGGAGCCCAGGCGCCCGCTCCGCGCTGAGGACGGGGAAGCTCGTCGCACAAGTGGCGCTCGGCGATCGATGCGCTGCGCCTGCCTCTACTCTCCCCTGGATCCCTCGCGCCGGGATCGGCTGCGCGCCCTTCCGCTTCCCGCCGGCCGGTCGCGCGCGTGGGACGCCCGCGCGCTCGCCCCGGCCCCTCTTATGGACCTTTTTGGCCCTCGCGGCCGCTCGTACGGGCCGCCGCGGGGCGGGCGCTGCTAGTGACGTCACGCTCCCGCCCCGCGCCAAACTTTAAGGCGGCG